GGTATAGTAAGGTTCAGTTCTTGCAATGGATTAGCATCGAAAAGTTTTCCAAAATGCATCATTGTTATCCTTACTTCGCTTTGTTATTGGTCTAGTAAGTGGCGCCACCCGACTCTCTTAGCCAATCAGACATGATTAGTCTAGTAAACTCGCGCCACTTTTTCAACCAATCAGATGATCAACTAAAACCAAACACAATCTGGTCGCCCGCGTTTTCCCGCGCTTTAGGCAGTTTGCTGGTAATAGTGTTAAGTTCTCCTTGAGATATTCTCCTTTTTTTGTGATTGGTAGATGTGATTACTTTGGCTTTCATTCGTAATGCGCTCAAATACCAATCACGACCTAGTCACTCGCGATATGAATTCTGCTCTTTGACGACAATTGTGTTTCTTGTGGTTTTACAGGGGTAATCGAGCGTACTGGGAAAACCTCAAGCCAGCCTCTGGCCGCCCGTTTTGTCCTTCAGTTAGTGGACCGAGAGGATCTGGCCAATCTCAGTAAAAGATGAATTGATTTCATGAACGTTGGGTCGCTCCACTGTTTTTTGTTGTACTGAGAAGTTTCATGTAAAGAGTTCTGTCCAAGACCTTAATTCCACCGGCGATTAGACCTTTCCTTGAAGAGAACAATGCCAGCGAAAATAAAGTAAGATTTTTGATCATGGTCCGTATCATAATGGTAAAACGCTCGATCCGACGTGCTATCCTAGTTCAAGGTTCCGTCCTGAACTTTTCCACATCTTACATCTCACCCATTTCAAACACTATTCAGAAATGGCAAAAAGCTGGGAAGGGTGTCGTTCCTTAGTGACCCGACGCGGCATTTGCCATGCCTTTACTTTGTTTCAACCTCATCCATGATGCCCATTCAAAAACAACCTTTCCTTTTCATTTTTCCACGTACGTACGTGCGTACTCCCCTCAAATATCTGAATTAATTTTTTAATCAAACTAAGGGGCTTGCCTCCTGCTCTCTACCCCACCCCTGCCACCTGCTTACTCCTCTGCCCAGTCCCCTGGAGGTTTCTGTGGACTAAGTTAAGAAAGTTTTTGAAACATTTAATTTTGCGGGATGGTTTTTTTCTACAAAAACTTAATTTTGCAGATCAAGGAAAATCTTCAACATTTTCAAAATTAAAACGAGCCACAGGTGAATTGTCATTTTTCAATAAAAGACAACTTCCTACAAAAAGCCGTATGACTGCATTCACAGTGTTCCTTTTGCTATCAAAATCTCAAGATGGAAAACTGATCCTTGAACAAGTAACAGAAATAAGGAAGCCTTCTTCATTGTAAACATTAACCCAAGTACAAGCAAAGAAACCCCTTGACCACTTAACAATTATTCCACTCATGCCTGTTGGATATGAGATGATAATTTAAAACGCCCTAAAATATAGATAACTCTTCCCAACTTTATTTTATAGAACAAATGGGATGTTTCAACATACAAAAAAATTTACAGTGTAACTCATCTGCATACATGCACATGGTATAATAGCTCATAACCCATGATTGCTAAGCCAATGAAAACTCTTGAATTGCATCATCCAATGATCCAGTTTTTAAACTAACAATTATTCCACAAGGGCATGTTGGATATGAGATGATAGATAGCCAATGAGGCATGTAGCGCCGAGTTGGATGTTAATCATCTCATATCCAACAAGCGTGAGTGGAATAATTGTTTTATTAAAAACGCCCCCAAGATACTAGACAAATGTGTATTGAGGGAAAATTTTTTAGCTCCCTTTTAATTTTAAGCTGACATGTAAGCTTACCATATTTGTAGATTATGGTATATTGGCTTGTATACCATAATTGCTAAGCCAATAAAAAGTCTTGAATTGCATTAGCCAATGATCCAGTTTTAAATAATATCAGTTACATTTGAAAGGATCTTTCACTATTAATTACTAGTTATTTACTTGCGACAAAATGCTCATCTTTAATAAGAATAATGATAATCTCAATTAAAATATACAGCAATGATAATAATAATAGTAATCATAGTAATAATAATAATAACAATAATAATAATAATAATAATAATAATAAGAAGAAGAATAAAAAAAATGTCATTTGCACATCTCAAAGTAATTTGTCTCTGTGGGGGTCGCCCTACAGCCCACCACACACGGAAGTTTACGGACTGCTGATGATTCATGTCCTCTCAAACAAGGCTTCCTGTTAACAGTTAAACTTAATGGATGAAAGAAAGAATGTTGCAACATCATTTGAAGCATTCCACAGATCCATGTCCCTCTACACCATTGTAGAAAAAGAAGTTATTCAGTGGGGCATCTCTTCCTGAAACAGCCTGTGGGAGTATGAAGGATAATTAATAACCACAGTGACAGATGCCAAAAATTTCATGACAAGAACTTTGCAAATAACCAATGAGTACCCAATCCTTACTTAAATATATGAGTAAAATGAGTCTGACTAACAGATATACACTACCGCAGATGAAAGAATTGACATTAAAGATGTGAAATCATTATCATGTTTGACCCTCACAAAGAATTGTACAAACACTGACATGTTTTGAGGTAATTCCCTGGTATTGCCTTGTGGATCCTTGATGCCCATGATTACTGCACATGAGAAACAAGAGCCTCTTGTTGCCCAGAGTTGAGTTTGCAAGGGTATTGTCAAATGATAGAGAATTAAAAAAAAGTCGTCAGTGAAAAATCACAGAAGTGAGTCTGTGAACCCCCCCTTTTTTTTTAACAGTTTTTTTCACGGTTTTTTTTTTTCACCTTAACATGTTACAGCATTGGAAAAAGTTCCATCAGCAAATCTGCAGCAAGTTTTCTTTATATGGAATTGTTTTAAGCCTCCAGTATTACTCAAAACATCATCCAGGGTTTGTACCCTGGATAAAAATTTCAGGGACTTTTCTAGGACTCCAAATTTCACCTTAAACCCTATCATTCCAAAGACTTCGAAATCAATTGTCCTGAGGGTCCACATTTCTTTCTTACAACCTAAATTCTGAAAACTTTATTGCTAGACTTAAGCAGATTTCCAGGACCTGCAGTCTTTTTTCCAGAACTTTCCACTCCTGGAAAATGTAAAATTAAAATTCCACGACCTGTACAAACCCTGTTATTACGTTCACCTCCCTATCAAAAAAATAGTGTACTGATACTATTCTGAATATTTATTTATTTATTTATAAGCTTCGCCAAGAACAATTTGGCAGGAGAGATCTCACAGAGCTAATGTTCCATTAATGAGACACCTACACAATCAAACAAAAACAAAACAAAACAAAAAAAAAACAAAAAAAAAACAATTACAAATTACAATCGAGTGGTAGGAATTATGTGAATATACCTTTACAACCTCCTGCCCCACGATGCCGCCAACAATGGCACACACAGGACTCACTTCTGCAATGCAGTGCCTATCAGTTGAAAATTATTTTAAAAACTTTCTTATCACCAAATCACTAATTATTGCCGATACTTTTTGCAGTCCAAGTTGATAGAAAAACACAGTCTAACCACTGTCTTTTAGTTCACAATTTATTTGTTTCACAATTGGACAGCACTGTCCCAAGTTGCCTGAATGATACATGCTGTGTAATAACACTTCCTTAAGTGGCTGCTCCTATTTTCTGTAGAATTATTTCCAGAAAAACGTCAGTTATATTGGATTAAATTGTCACAAAAAAAGTTTCTTCTAAGGAATTTGCTGATATGACCTCACCCCCCCTCCCCTTTGGTTTTATCAATGTCGAGTGGTACTCATTAAATCAGCTTGCTGCACATAAATTTACCTAAAATACCTTAAAGGGACAGAGCTGAATAACGTATATGCTTGCACCAGGTTTTGCTGCGGAAACACGGATTTTGAGTCGTTCGCATGGTTGATTTCCTATTCTGTTGTTCCGAGGCATCATTTTCCTTGCCGCTTTTCTTTTACAGAACAACCTCCAAAAATATGGTACACCCCTTAAAATTTTCAAAAATTAATTTTCTCCTTTCAACCTTTGGAATTAGGAAAGTGCCTTCAACGAAAACAGAGTTCCTCAGTTTTAAAGGTCAGCCCTTATTATTTTCCGCAAAATTTTAGACCTAGGACACTTGAGCCCGTGTTGTTGACCACATAGCCCCTGACGCAGCATTTCATTATTCAGCTCTGTCCCCTTAAGGTAGAATTAGGATTCACGTCTAGGATAACAAATATGTTTGGGGAGAAAAATCATGACACAATATACACAAAAAGCTACCACTGAACACACTCACGAAGCAAATTCCTCTGGAAGAAGCGTCACATCGAGGTTCAGTTCCTTCATTATTTCATCCCTTAGTATTAACAATTTCTCTTTGTCCTCGCAACTTGTGGAAGTCTGAGGGAGTTGGCCATATTGGCTGCGAAATCTTAGAAGAACTGTACAGTAAAGTCAAGATCAAATAAATTAACTATACATATGATGAAGGTCAGCAAAGATAAGAATTTTCTTCTGACAGGCCAGTGAGTAAGCAAAGTAGATTTTTCCACCATAACAAAATTAAACTCAATCAATGAGAAGCTTTTATAACTTTCACATACCTTTCATCCTAAAATATACAGAAGGTAATCTTTTCAAAATCTTTACAGGTCTGTCATCTAGTTTGCATGACAATGCAGCTTTCAATCTGTAGAATTCTGCAAACTAAACAACTTAACATAAACACTTATCGCATTATATAGAATTAAAATATTACACATAACATAAATTTAAAAAATTTATCAAAGAACAAAACAAAGTCCAATGCAGTTTCAGCTGTCACCCTATTGATATTTTTATTCGCAGTTTGACTGTAAAAAGTTCCCTCAATAATTATTATTCTTCTAGATCTCCTCACTTGTTACCTGAAGGCAAGTTTTTTTAAATGTCCTGTGAGTTACGCCCAATTAAATTCTAATTACTCAAGACATTTTCCTCAGTAATAAACAACTTTTAAAAGAGATTCATTACCTTTTGAACTATGGTGGTTTCACTAGCATCGACTTTTCTACGTTTTGCTTCTGGTTCGCCATCAGATCCTGAGTTATTCTTTTCTGGTGCCTTAACAACCTTTGGTTTCTCTCTGAAAGACATGAGTTCATTGGAAATATACTGCCATGTTAAAAAACCCGAGCCCCAGATGGGACTTGAACCCACGACTCTCCGTGATCTAGTCGGATGCTCTAACCACTGAGCTACTGGAGACTCTATGGTGAGCAAGGGTCAATTTGTGGGCCTCAACTGGAACCGCATCGCGCGGCTATACAGCCAAGTATTGGTAAGCACCTGTGAAAACTCACTAACAGCATCACGCTGTCACATTAAGGCATATCAAGATGCGGCCAACCAACCTCCAAAGTGAGCATGTAAAGATGAAACAATTTTT